GATCGCACGAGTGAAGAGTCCAGGAAACTTAAGTACTGGCAGTATCTTTTGGGGTGGGAGATAGTGTGTGTTTTGAGGAGACGAAAAAGAACGGCAAGATCATCTCAGTAGAAACGTTATCCGATACTCTCGTTTACGATGGGGACGCGTCTTCACAATTCCCAATGTGGTTTATGGGGGACCCTAGGGGGAGTGAAGGTGAGCGTATACCCTCGCAAGCGCTGTTGCTTTTTCTCCAGAAAGAAATATCCTGAAATACATGAAAAATCGCGTAATTCATGTGTACTGAAAAAAAGCTACTGCGTTTTCGCGGCCAGCAAGTTTTCCAAGCAATTCTATATATTGTTAAAGTTCATTTCATGCTGTTTCTCAATGATACTCTCGCAACTGGATTCCTTCCTTTGCGCGGCCGTGGCAATCATTTTTCCTGAGTGGTGCCGCAACGGGTGCGAGGGGTCATCGCTGAGTCGCACATGCCCTTGCAATAAAGAGTTCTTTTATGTTTGTAGGAAAATATTGGTGTGGTAACCGTTACGAATCCAACACTGCCACACTGCCAATGTTTCTTCACCGTTCATTGCAAAATGACTACCCCCCCCCCCGGCCAGCGACCACCTTTCACTTTTAAGAGGTGAGACCTTCAAATACACCCTTCACTTTTAGGAGGTCATCTCTTGATATATCATGTATGTTTCCAGGGTCCAAAATTTTGTGGAGAAGAGCTCTGCAGCTGAAATAATTCTCATATATTATTCTCTCTTTATCAATCATAAAAATGCGCGCCAACAATGCTCCTACGAATTGATGAAATTCCGCAAACTGGAGCTTATCGAAAGAGATTTTTTGGACATTTTCCTTTGTAAAACTCGAAAATTACAACTTTTGCAAAAGTTTTAGCAGCGGCCATATTATGCATGATTTGCCGATTCGGGCAGTGTATAAGAGTGCTCGTATAGCTTACGCTTAATGGAGTTATAGGTCGTCAAACCCGAGGTAGCTTTTGCGGAAGTTTCATTTGCACTAACCTAATAAAAATATGGACTATGTAGCAGACGATCTTTTGTATCCTACAGTATGTAGTACTCTTTAAAATATTGTGTTCCAATATGCAAATAAACTAGAAATCGACTTGATCGCTTTTCTCTAGAATTTCTTCGTTTTCATTTGAAGAAAAAAAACAGCTTCGCAAGCCCCAAATAAAATCTATACACTTTAAAGAAGTTTATAGGTGAAAAATATGAGTGTGTGGCAAGGACGCTTTTTTCCTGACTTTGGGGTCCACGTCGTTTTGATACAGAAGTCTTCTGCAGAGATCATCTAGAAAGCAAAATTTCCATGTTATATTTTTCAGAATCTGGACAGCGAAGCTGGCTTAAAGCAGCTCCAACACTTTTGTCAATAACGGTGGAGAATTATTCCAAAAAACTTGGAGGTCATAAGCTTTTCAGGTACCAAAAAGCGTCGTTTAGTCAACCCATGCATACACAAAACCACCATGCTTACGCACCTTTGACATGGGAAATTAAAAAAAA